ACTCAGGGTTTCTTAGATGACAGGTGAGAGTGTTAACCGCAATACCAAATCGAATACTGCATCTGTCGGGTACCTTTTGTTGAGAATTGTTTTAAACGGACCTGGGCGCGCAATCCGCTTTGTTACCTGACAAAAGCTGCCGCATCCCGCCGTCGGCCAAGGCAGTTCCTCACCTCCCGAACGTACCAATTATCTTCTGCGCCATTATACCTCTACGACAAATTTACGCTGTTTAACGGCCAGTCTGTGTTTGTACGTCATTCCCGCTGATTGCACCTAACTGATTGTACATTTTGTTTAATTCACGAGGAGTATTATACCGTTTGCCAAAGAATTATTTCCTGACAGCTTCTAACACACCATCTACGGCCCCATTCTGTCCGCTCCTATTGTCTACTGGATACAAGCTGAGTATGTTCAGATGGGCGCAATCGTCTCGTGAGTTCCTTAAGTGTCGGACCTTACAACGCCACTAGCTCAAGAAAGTTCATCGCCTGACTCGCTTAACAGCGACACCGGCAGGTCTACCCACCATGATTCTGAGAATCATGCCTTGTATACATCCATTCCGATTTCCTGCAGTATATTATCCCGCTTACATTTTTCGTTGAGGCGTGTCATCCCACCGCGCGCAGTCAGTTCACGACACATTCATTCAACTGATTTGACGTCCGGCTACTAAGCGGCACTGGACCTTAGTGTTGATTCATCTCTTCCCTCTTTATTTCATGCATGCAATACAGCGCATACACTCCATTGGCCCTGGAATTTTCTTGTGGGAGCCTGGAGAATGGACCATTATTACCGTAGATGAGGACGAGAGTGCGAGATAGGCTACTTTTGGTCTGCAATTAGGTTTGCGCATGAATGGGCGCGGGTGATGCATGTTTAACTCTGTGAATAATGGGTCTTGAATGGTAACGCTCCTTTATGAGAAGGTCTGTGAAGCTTCCATATAACCACTCAGGGCAGACCACTGGGGGGTTGGATACAACACTTTTGAGGTAGGAGGTTTTCGGAAACTGAGGCTAAGTTATACAGTATTTTAACCGCAATTTGATCCAAGTGGATATTTGTGAGGCCGTTACAATTCTGGAAAATAGAGGAATTGATACCATTGAGGGATTGGGGACCAGAAAACCATTGAGATGACATCGAGTCGAAAAACGCATCTATCCATTCTATCAGTTTATGGAAATAATTTCACTACAAGATGAATGTATTGGCACTCTCAATGACCTACGGGCAAGTCATGTATCTTCACTGTGGGCGCAACAATTCCTTTCGACTGGTGTTTAATTATGTATGGTTGGCCAGCCGACAAGCTGCCACCCATACCACGCGAGACAAAAATGCGTCACGTTACACGCCAACTCCGTCTAGTCTTCTTTCTGCTCGCCATCGAAACAGAAATTTGGACTCGACTGAATTAGAATCACTCGTCTGCCAAAGGGGGCCGTAGATCGTGTGATGGTCGAATTTTACTGTAAGGTTCTACTCCTCTGTCCCAACACACCCTGCTCTGTGACGTTGTTCTATGCGCTGCAGTGCTTTGGACTGGTTTGGTTTGTAGTGCTATGCCGTGTTGTCCCAACACCTGTTCCATACCATTTAGTCTGCCCTGTTTCACCCTGTCCTGGTCAGTCCGAACGTGCTGGAACGAAACTTGTGCCGTAGTCTCAACTAGATCATGCTTCAATAATGGTAATCTTTCACTGACTCTGGAAGTGAAAAACAAATTAAGTTTTATGACATAGATGCCTTGAGGTTGTGCGGTGGTCACTAATACTCACACATTTCTGCTTTGTTTTACTGCTTGGGATTTGTAGGTCATCACAACGGCGTGATTCTGATTCGGTTGCAAAATTTTGATGATGCCCTTTTCTAACCATTAACTTGATGGGGAGTTGTTCAGGGAAGCCAGTTTGTCAGAACGACGTGGACTATGCAAATTATGACGGCGGAGATAATTTTTCGACCGAAGATGACTGTATTGACTCCAAAATGTCTGAAAAACGCACCAGTGATTCGGTGAATCGGCCTACTAGATGCAACTGTTCCCTGGGTATTTCTGATAGCAATGCCTTATCAGAGATCGTCAATAAAAATAAAACAAGCTTCTCACCTGATCGTATGTGTGCCTCAGAAAAAGTTCCTGCAAAACAGGATACGCCAATGGAAGCCTCCAATTGCCCCCGGAGCAGTAATTGTTTTATAGATTACGGCACCCAAGAGTATGACAGAAGCCCCCAGATTTTGAAAACAGTAAGCCCGGAATATAAGCCACTTCGAGCCGTAACTTGCTCATCACAAGTCTCCATGCCATCATGGATGTCAAACACAAAACTAAACTATGATTCGGCTTTAACCCTATCAAGGAATTGCAGTCCTAACCTGGATAATCCGAACATCTTGTGTTCGTATCAAGACTCTTCAGATCAAACATTCAGGTGTCACCAAACTACCCCGACAATCGCAACCCACCACTCAGACGTTGCGCATCGCACCTCGCTCATTGTGGAATTCGAGAAAACGAAACTGGAGCCTACGGAACCTAACTTACACAATATAAACACCACTATTGGGCTCTTGACGCACGAAAAAGGATTGGGTCAACGTTCATCTCTCAGCGGTCATTCAAATCGTTATTTGATTCATCAGTCCTACTTGCTCTCCAGCAGTGGATCTCCAAGCCGTCTAAGCTTGAACTCAACTGGGTTCACTCCAGGCAGACCTTGCTCCCAAAGGACTGGTGATGGACACAAGGTGGGGAAATACTTCGTTGTAATGTTTGATCACGCTACACAAACTAACGGCGAAATTAGCGCCAGAAAGGGCGACTATCTTCACTTATTGGATTCCAGGTAAGATCGCTTTTGTGATATTTCGCACTTCAACAGTTGTGTAGATTGATATACTACACAGAAATTGATTTCAGTTGCTCTTAGATTTAGTTTATCCGTCAAGGCCTTTTTGTCATCTGTTAACTACAGTTTTGGATGTGCCAAACCACTTACATTTATGATGTGATGGATCGCTTATGAGAGGGACTGAGATATCAGCTATAAGTGGACTACTTCGGCTGTGTGCATGAGTGCATGGATACCAGAGTCGCGCACGGTGCTGTGAAAATCCTCTGATTGTGATACAAACCTGAGAGAGTAAGAAAACGTCGTTCAGCTGTAACACCCATCCGATGCTTATCTGCCACGCCACCCGAAGGAAACGCGAGGGGGAAAATACTGCTAGGTTGCTAGGGGTAGTCGAAACGCAAAGGTCGGGTTCGAATCAATGACCTTCCGGTCACTAACTTCGCACTCTAACCACTTGGGCCATCTCGCCTTAAGAATAAGAATGGTAAGGAAATACGCAGACGTCTACTGTGGTCCATCAGTCGACCTTTATCTGCCGGCATAACTGAAAACGACCAGTGGTACTAACTGGTAAGGAAATACGCAGACGTCTACTGGGGTCCACCAGTCGACCTTTATCTGCCGGCATAATTGAAAACGACCAGTAGTACTGTGGCGATGAAATCCTCAGCACTTTTTAGGTTGCGGAGAAACAATGCATTTTGATTGAGTAAATGATATCGCCCATCCCGCATGGACATCCCTACAAACGCATCATCTATTTTGTAATTATCACACATTAGGAAATCTAGCCTTAGGGTTTCCACTAGCAGTATCACGCATTTATAGGATATATCCATCAAACAGCTAGTTCTTAATGGCAATAGAAGTTACTTAGCGGTGCAATAAGTTATGAAGGTAACTTAACAAGAAATTGAACTTTTAGTTGAGTAAACTTTTGCCGCTCCTGTTATATTATAGGCTGAAACTACTTGTATTCACTGAGCGCAGTCACCTAAGACATACTATCGGGCGAACGCGAGTGCGACAGATCTCGGCGCACTGAATTCAAGTAGTCACTAGCAGTATCACACATTTATAGGATATATCCATCAAACAGCTAGTTCTTAATGGCAATAGAAGTTACTTAGCGGTGCAATAAGTTATGAAGGTAACTTAACAAGAAATTGAACTTTTAGTTGAGTAAACTTTTGCCGCTCCTGTTATATTATAGGCTGAAACTACTTGTATTCACTGAGCGCAGTCACCTAAGACATACTATCGGGCGAACGCGAGTGCGACAGATCTCGGCGCACTGAAGTGTTTCAAGTAGTCATTGTGTATTTGAGCACTGAGCTTCAATATTTTTGCTCTTCTTCCCAGGTTATTTGACCAGACATAAGATATGTCCGCAACATAGCTATCCCAGGAATGTTTCATAGGTCAAGAGAAACTTTTTCTCTTTATGAAGTCCGAGACTTAACCTTCAGAAATTATTTCATTTTATTGTTTTTATCCGATGCCTAAGATGCGTGATTTATTTACCAATAAGTCTTCTAGTAGCCGTATTCTCTGGGGGATTGGTTATTGAGACGTGTGAAATATTCTACTATGCCGTCATAAGGAGATCCGTACAATATAGGTACAGAACAGTATTCTGCAGTTAGGACAACCTGACGCAGGTGGTGGTTTGGTTAGACTCATTTACTTAGGCGACTCAGTTTGGCGCCCGTCGTTTTAGTTCATCATTGATATTACTTACTTGATCCTTAAAATACTACCAAAGATGTAGCAGTATACACAACACTCGGCGCTCATCACAAATCCCGACAGGTTATGACTCTTGTGCAAGCAAATATTTGGAGGGTATTTAGAAGTAGACCTGAACAGTTGTGGGTTGTTGATGAGGGGAATGCTCCTCTTAGTAAATGCGGTTATGCACATCGATAAGTAAACAAACCGTCGTTTACAGAAGAGGCTTTGCGGTCCTAGTGTAGCCAAGCAACTGACTTGGTTAAAGAAATAAATGTAGTTAGCGAATTAAAATAAACCTTACGACAATTTGAGGCTAATGTGCGCACTTTTGGTCCTCATAATAATTTAAACACGGATAAAGTACGCATTTAGTATGTGTTGTTTTTCTTTATAGTGTAGTTAAATTTACACACATAATCTACCGTGTCTCTAAACCAAAACCGTAACTTATAAGGTATCTTCTCGTTAATTGCTGGTATATTGCAGGTGTATTGGGAAATGTGCCCAAGGGGGGTAAATAATCCACACTTACTTTGGAAAGCTTTTATTGCCAGGAGCAAAGTGAGATTGTGTAAAATGGAGGGTGCCCGTTTGTTTCTCAAAGGTGCTGACTCATCTAATTTTACCATTTTGTGACAAAGCCCCCTAAAATTCAACGAAAAACGTAGGATATAATGAAATTATCCCCCAATCTTCACAAACAATTTATTACACACTTTGAAGCGCGTTTATCTATGCAAGGACCGTACTTTGCACGTTGTTTTATGTATTGAACTCTCTGCTCAAGGTTTGGTATACCAAGCATGTTCACCCATAAAAAACGTCTAAACTGTCACACCGGTTCAATGAATGAATGAATGAAGAACACCCCGATCGTTTTGTTCACCATGTTTTAACAGCAATTTGTGGCCTATATTTCTAGGCCACAGGGAAACATGCTCACTACTTGGCGCTGCTGAAGGACCCCAGATCCAATGTAGCGAGGGCACAACTATAACGAAGACATTCCGTTTCTGGTAGACTTGGTAGTGAGTGAAGTGTGTTTTGGGACTAACTATATCCCGCTTTGCAGACATATGTACCGTTCGGGTTGAAAATATGTTAGTAAAGAATCACTGTAGACGATAAGTTACCAGATGTGGTTTTTATTGTTGTAAGTTGAATGGGGGCTCATGAAGTTGCTGAACAGAAAAGATTAGCCGTTACTAAGCAGAAGGTACCAGATTGCTTTGATAAACCCTGAAGGGCATCATCTCCAGACGACGTTGTCTTCACTGATGATTAATGAAGTCTGTGTATCTTTGATACAAATAGGCGAAAGAGCAGCGCGGACAATGTTATAGATAGAATTGATAGAATTGCTAGAGTAAGATGCATAACAAGTACTCAATTTTTTTTATAATGATCATTTGTTTTTGTTTATCGGTACAAAAACAAACTGTCCACTAACTAAACCTGTCATATAAACCGTCGGACATTTAGACAGTGTCATTGGTAGGCAAGATTAAGGAGATGTAAATGAGACGGCGCAACCATCCATCTTACGTCTGATTGTAAAATGGACCTTTTTGTCCGGTGATATTAGTCGACTGCCCGAATAGTAGCTTCAAACCCGCTCAATCTGAAACGTAGAAAACAAAAGCCGAACACATTGAAAATAGTAACATATTTCTGGAAGTCTACAGCTACGTTGATCGCTAACCTGAAGGGAGGGTGTTTAATCGTGAATCATAATGTCACTAAGAAGTTCATTAAACTTCTGAAGATGGAATATTTAGTATACATCAGTGAAGGTTCGGTGAAGTAAAGAAGGCACTCGGAACAAACCAAATTTCGCATCTGTTAGTCCGGACTTTATGTCAGTTCTTCTAGGACACTCCTGTAAATCCTACGCGATTTTCATCAGCTCCTTCAGGAAATTTTCTTTACTCCACGTCGTTGTGGTTACTGTGCATCAACTCGCTGCATCTAACACAAAGTGCGTTTCTTCTGTGTGTAGAAATACAACACCGCAGCTCAGAATAAATATCGCGCCTCCAGAGAAGTACCCAGTTTTGGAGCTAAATCTTTTCGCAAACTGTTTAAAAAACTAAAATTCCATTTTGATACTATACTATTTCGAAGACTAGTTTGATGTTAATCTTTCTTGTCAAACTGGATTGGCTTTGGGTGGCAGAGTGTGCCATGTCATGAATACTATCAGAAGGTTGCTTGAAGCAGTTCACTTGCAGAGGAAAAATAGTTGACAGATATAAAACTTGAAATAGTCGACTATCAACTCAACCCAACCGTAAACATTAGAAACAAAAACGAGCAGCCGCTAAGATCTAGTCATTTATTTGCGTTCATCAAGCCAGCTGTGCATGCGGCCTTTTAAAGATAAACTAAATACGCGAGCCTGACTGACATGTCTGATTTAGATGTGATACGGAGTGGTAACGCAGCATCCATTGTGAGACAGCTGTTTGCTCTTTTGTTCTACAGCGACATTTTTGTGCCACTTGTACTTAGTAAGAATCTTGTCAAACATGCGTTAGTTTATGGTTGGTTTTATCAACTTATTTCACCTTACTGCACACTTTTATGACAACTCAGCATTCCAAATGCATTGGATTGATTGACAAAGAGTACGATAATTTATCACCTATGATTGTCATGCAAGGTGTGGTCATTCATGCGGAATGATTCAGCAAGAGGAGACGACAGGCGACGATACACCATCGTTTACTATACCCTGTTGCATCACACGTCCAAGATTTCGATAAAATCATCCTCATTTACAGGAAAGATAGTCGTTCCTTACATTTTGTTATTTGTGTATGGGGCGAGATGGTTCAGTGGTTCGAAATTACTTAACGAAAAGTCCGTAGTCCGAACCCGACCACTGACTCTCGACTTCACTTGCCTAGACTTGGGCAATCTGGCAGTATTCAAGCCCTCGTGCTTCTTTCTGGTGGCGTGGCAGTTATACACTACAATGGTGCTGTACCTGAACTATTTTTAAGTCAAACTGTTTGTACTTACAGCCAACAAATATAACATAATTTGTGCGATTATTCACTGTCTTACCTCCGTATCAGGTGTTTGGGTTTCTTTTGCAAAACTAACTAACTATGCGAAACATTACATGGCCATCCAATGTCCGCCAAACAAGTTGGACATAAATCCATTGAGTTGAGACTAGTTCCTGGCTTTTTCATGTTTAGTGACACAAGACATGCCCAGTAGGGCATACATCCGTCCACAGTACCCCAGCG